GTTGGCGGTTCCATAGGTTTATTTGGATTACGTCGCAGACGATGATAAGCGCTGATCATTCCTTTATCAAGATTAAAACCCACAGCCTTGCAGACACTAGCGACAACATTAAAGATGTCTTCGCTTTTAATCTCTGGAACGCCCTTTACCTCAATCGAATTCTTCCTCGTATGTTGCTCAAGATCGTTGATTTTTAGCTTTAGATCCTCAATCTCACTCTTTAACTTGCTATTCTCACCTTCTAAGTTTTTCACTTCGCTCAAACATTCATTAATCTTTGCTCCCTGGGACCTTAGTAAAGCAGAGTTGTCATCAATCTTTTGATGGCATACATTCAAGGATTTGGCGAAACCCTCCTGATTATCTTTGTTGGAAACAATCAAGGCATAGATTTGATCCAGCGTAACTGCAGACGTATGTGATACAGCTAGTGGTACGGATAGTACGGCGGATTCTTCATGGTCCATTGCAGGTGGTAGGTTCTCTGGGGTTAACAAGCATGATGGACAGTTCCAGTCCCGAGTTTGCTTAGATTTACGTAAAACGATAAATTCTTGTATTGAAATATTCACGCAACGTAGGTGATAACTCTTTATACAAACACAACAATCAATTTTATCGTCATACCTGCTAATCTTATTGTGACAGATTCCACTCGCACTCAAAAACTCTTGGAGCGTCCACTATTTCGGCAGGAGAATTAAGCAACTGGTGCAGCGCAAACTCAAATGTTCCTAGTAACGAAGATCAACCATATGTTTTAGGTATATAATGCTACAATTTACAACGTAATACTCAGTCTGTCTTTTCTAGATTTTAAAATTGATGTTGACGACGCCGATTTTCTGAAACAAGACCTGAAAATTGTTTTATCGACCAAAAGACTTCTAAAGCTGTTAGGAGAAGTGGATAAAGTTCAAGCTGATGCCACGTACAAACTCGTATGGCAAGGATATCCAGTCCTGATTGTAGGAACTTCAGATATTTGCAGAAAATTTCATCCGTTAGCAGTTGCAGTGTGTTTTGGCGAAGCAGAAGCTGATTTTGCTTTTATATTTCAAGCAATGAAGCAATCGTACATGAATATTCATCAGATGATTTGGAAACCAAATGTGTTACTTGCAGATGCAAGTGTAGCAATCACAAACGGTTTTAAATCAGTATTTGGGACTCCAGCTCGAAGACTTCAATGTTTTTTTCATGTTTTGAAAAACGTCGATTCAGTTATTCGCGGTATAACAGAAAAAACAGAAATCGGAAGAGATCTTCATGCTTTGCAGCTCTGCATAGACGACGAAGTGTTCATAATTGCTGAAAATCTATTTTTGAAAAAATGGGAGTCCAAAAATGTCACAAACCATCAGGCGATAAAAGATTTCATTAATTATTTTAAAAAAACATGGCTTGGAATTAATCGATTTTGGTATGAAGGTGCATGTGCTCGTTTCCCAAGCACTAACAATGGCCTCGAATCAATAAACGCCACAATTAAAAAAGAACATACTCTAAGGGAGCGTCTTCCAGTAGGTCAGTTTATGGAAGCTTTAAGAACTTCATTAGTTGAAAAATGGTCATATGAGCGAAATCCAGAAAACCCGAATTACAAGCCATTTTTTTCAACTATAAAATTGACAACAAAACTCTGGACTGATGCATACCAATGGGTAAAACTTAAACCAAAAATGTTTGAAGAAAAATCCAATGAGAAGACTATCTATTATACAAAATCGACGAATGCGACAGAAGTTTTAAACCAAGAAGAAATGCAGACTTGGAAGAACACCTATCTTAAATGGGAATGTTTTGATGATTTTCGAAAATCTCAAACGGTATTAAAATTAGCTTGCTACTCTGAAAATGAAGAGTTAGTGTCACAGTGTACTTGCTCAAGATTTTTGAAAGAGTACATATGCGAACATTCATTAGGCTTATTAGTTATTTTAGGAAAAGCCAAAGTACCCATTGAAGCTAAAAGTGTTCCACTTGGACAAAAGAGGAAGAGAGGGCGGCCAACTACAGCTAAAAAGGCATTAATAATCCAATAAATGAGTATTTAGTACCTACAGATTTGTACTATAGCTATTTTTATACTTTATATATGCATAAATATAATAATCTACTATAACTTTATATTGCATACTTTTAAAGTTGGAATGTATTTTTTCAAAGTGCGAATCTATCATTTTGTAGAACATACTAATAAAGCTGCATAAATCTTTTTTAAAGTGCAAATACACCATTTTTTAGTGCATAAACGCAAAGCTTTAGCATATTTTCCATTTGTGTTACTCTGTCATGTTATAGTTGATTGGTCCGAAGTTAGATACATTTTATTACAGTGCACTTATATATTGCCCGAGAGAAACTCTCGTTTGCGTTTTGCACGAACGTTAAACAAACAGCTGATAATTGACATCAAATCAAAATAACTTCTGCGTCTGCGTACAATTTAATATTACGCATGTTGGATGCACTGTGTGTGGAACTTCATGTCAACCCTTTTTCAAAAATTGTAAACCGTATGAGTGTTTGTTTACAATGAACGGATACGTAAATATTTCATAAACCGTAACTCGTAGGTACATATGCGTATCGTTTCCGTAAATTTACTTCGCTGTTTACAATAAACTAAAGATCATACTAAATAGTACTATGCCAGTTGAAAGACTAGTTTACGGAGGTCATTAGTTGTTAACCCAAACAATCTTGCCTCCATTGTTTTAAAATACCCTACCAGCTGTTTTTCTTGAGCAGATAAAAAAATCGTAGACTTTGAGCCCATTCCTGTAACGTTTATGTAATAAAGTGTTACATGGGTTTTTTCACTATTATTAACAAACCTTTCTTTGCAGCTGCCTCTCCTTCCATTGCGTATCTTTTAACATGTCTCTCTAGAGTTGCTTTTGAGATGCCAAATTGGATTGAAGCCTTTCGAGTCCCCAAACCACCACCAACTACAACTTGTATAGCTTGCAACATTTGTTCTTCACACCACGACTGTCGATCCGACTTTCTTTTATAATTTCGCATGTTTTCCAACGATATTTCTAGTTTTTAGAAGACAATTCATTAAATTAGTAATTCCCGCCAGTCTCTGGGGTAAAATGAGGACATTGTCTCATTTTGCCCCAAAGCACTGTCTCCATTTTACCCCTTCAACTAACTTTCATGAAAAAAAAAAACAATCAAAAAACCAAACACATCTAACAAACAAAACGCACTTAAGGTCAACTGGGGTAAGTGCATGTGTGAAATTATATAATCGACTTTATTTTAGGATATCTTTAGGTTAACGTTATGCATTATATTGTTGTATATATCATTGAATTCATTACGAAATACCGTATAAATCCAAAGTAACACTTAACCCCGCAATTTAAGACACAAAATATAAATAAAATAAATTAAAAATGTTTGCATTACAATGCACTTGCCCCATCTGGTGGGGGTAAGTGCATATTTGTTTAGTAAATCGTTATTAAAGGTGGATTTATAAACTTGACGTTCGCAGTTAACGTTGCCGTTGCCGTTTAGTTACCGTTGGAAGTTGGCAGTTCGTTTCGAATTGACATTTATAAAACTACGTTCGTGACGTTGTTGAGTTATTTGACCTCTTCATTCTAACTACTCAGTATGAAATAACTATTATAGTACATAACCTTAAAAGTATTTCGTTTATCATTTCATATAAATATTCACTTTTCTACCTTTAAAAATGGACGAGTATGATGTGTTGTTGGGTTTATCTGGCGTTTTATTACGCAGCAGCGAAAATAATACAAAGACGACCGCGGCGATTTAAAACTCGTCCAATTAACAGAGACCGTAAATTAACTGGAAATTACCGATACTACCAAAAATTGAAAAATTTGGATTCTCCTCAATTTTTCAAATACACTAGGATGAGCCTACCAATTTTTCAAAAACTGTTAGACATGATTAAATTGGACCTCCAAAAACAAAGAAGACGTGATACCATTTCTCCCGAAGAGAGATTAGTTATAACATTGCAGTAGGTGTTTTCATTATTTAATGTTGTTCTATTGTCTAAATCTTCAGATATTTATCTCAAGGCACAAATATGCAAGTGCTTGCATGGACATTTCATATAGGCTTAACAACAGTGCATCAAATAATCCTTGAAGCATGCAACATTATTTGGGAGCGGCTGAGCCCACTGTACCTAAAATCCCCTTCTAGTGAAGCCGAATGGGAAAACATTGCAGATGGTTTCCTTCAGCATTGGAATTTTCCTAACTGTATAGGTGCCATTGATGGCAAGCACATCAATATTCAGGCACCTGCTCGCAGTGGGAGCTTATTTTATAATTATAAACATAATTTTAGTGTAGTGTTATTAGCAGTATGCGATAGTAAGTATCGCTTTACATTTGTTGACATTGGGGCATACGGCTCCCAAAGCGATGGTGGCGTTTTAAAGAATAGTGTATTTGGCAAATGTTTGGAAGAATCTACATTAAAAATTCCTAAACCGACAAGTTTACCCAGTAGTGAGGTTGTTTTGCCTTATTTTTTGGTAGGAGATGAAGCATTCCCTTTGAAGGAATACATAATGCGACCTTATCCGGGGCGCAACTTAAATGACCAGCAAAAGATTTTTAATTATCGTTTGTCCAGGGCGAGGCAGACGATAGAAAATACTTTTGGGATTTTGGTTGCAAGATGGCGATTGCTCAAAACCACAATAAATGCCAAAGTAGAAAATGTGGATAACATTGTTAAATGCATAGTCGTTTTGCACAATTACTGCCAAACAGAAATGTCCACAAGTACAGATTTATATTGTCCTCCGGGGTTTGTAGACTCGAGCGATTGTCCCAATGGAACCTGGAGAGAAGATGCACCCCTTCAATCTGTGGGAAGAACAGGTGCAAATATTGCCCGTAAAACAACTTACCAAAATAGGGACAATTTAGCTAATTACTTAGTGTCTAAAAATGGCGAAGTTCCATGGCAATATGACATGATCAAACAATCGATGTTACTTAAGTAATTTATTGTTAGTTATTTAATTTTTTTTTTACTTTTTGTACTACATCTAATATTATAAATTCTTAATCTTAAGCTTAAACTATGTTTTATACTATTCTACCTATTTACACCAATAATAAATTAATCTAAATCCTCTAAAATTTTTAACATTTTTTTTCGTTTTTCTTTGGCCTCTTCGGGAGGCATCTCCATTAAACGAGTAAAAACATACTCTGTAAAGGTCCGGTTTTGTTCAGGTGGTGGTGCAGCTGCCTTCACCTGAAGAGTACTAGCAATTTGTTTCGCTGTATTTATCACCTCATCGAATTCCAGGCTTCGTTTCGATTTACTGCCTGCTTTAAATAACTTTTACATTAATTACAAAGAACACTGCAGAACATCACCTTTTTGGCTTTGTCGAGTTTCAGATGCATGGCTCGAGGTCCCACTAGCTTCTGCTCCTCTTTCCGGAGTAATGGTTTGTTCCATAATCTCCTCAATGTCGCCCTCCGATTGCGGTGATAAAATTGTCTCGATCCCGGACCACCCTGACGATCGGGACGATGTTCGGGATGAAGAGGGAGATCCGTCATGGACCACTGCGACTGTTGCAGTATGCGTTCTGAAAAAATTGATGGCTGTAGTACATTTCAAATTCAAGAGAGTTAGAAATTACTTTCTGGGCCGGGTACATTTACTGTAAAACGACATCTTTTCAGAGTACACCCAATTGGTGTCGCCTCCTCCTGAGCCAGATGGTTTTAATCTTTTCTCTCGGGTAAACCGGTCTCGTACGTTCTTCCACAGCTTCATACAATCTTCCACTAAAAGAAACGTCAAAATGAGTTCCTAAATTACAAAACATATGGTATATACGAACCACTGCATCTGGTTATTTCTGAAATCTCCTTCCATGCATCTTCCTTTTTTTTTGCGTTTTTGTACTCTTTGTGGGAGAGATCATACAAAAATTCATAATTTTGAATTAATTCAATTAGAAGACCTGTAACGTCGGTTTGGTCTGAAATTGTCGAAATTATGCATATGTGATTAATAAAATGGACACCTTACCTGCGTCTCCCATTGGAATTAATTAAATAAATAATTAAATAAACAATCAAACTTCTCTATTTATATATACATGATAAATGACAATACTGAATACACTGTAGTGTAGTTCTTGTACACCGTTATAAAGTAGGTCAGAACGGGTTAGAGAATGTCAATTTTTGGAAGCATCTTATTGGCTGGATGTTGAACGGCGAACGACGAACTTAAAAGATGGTCATGTCTTGAACGGCAGGAACGTTATCCGAAACTGCAACTGCAGCGGCAACGATGTTTATAAATAGCGCCATATAGTTACTTTAGGTTAACATTAAACGACGAAGCCCGTAATGGGACTAAAGACGAAAGTGGAGTTTGGGAGTACTCGATACGTTTGTGTATACAGGAGTTTCCATAAACGCTTCTCAACCATGACAAGGATTACAACAATATACGCCGAAATGCTCATCGTTTACTTGAGCGGTTTAACATACAGGAAGTCTTGTTTCTGGGAAGTCACCTGATCGCTTAGTGATTGCTAATAAGGAGGTTGTAAAAGATGTTCTTGCTCGTCTTGAGCAAAGTCCAAAAAAGCCGCTGCGACAATTTGTCTCACAAACGGGCATCTCATACAGAAGCGGAACATGTGACACTATTGCCTGGAGAAAATTGTACTCCTATCCTTTAAAGTAACCGTGTTACAAGAACTCATCGTTCAGACTTGCAAAGCCGTCTAAATTATTGCATGCAAATTTACGAGATGGCAACGTATTCGAAATCGTACACCATTGCCGAATTACGAGCAGGTATAGAAGCTGCCGTTTGAAACATTACACAACAGCACTTACATGCCAACTTCGAAAACATGAAGAAAAGAGTGAATCCCTGTCTTAATAATGGTGGCGAGCACTTCGAACAGTTGTTATAGTGTGCATGTAATTTATCCAATTACTTCGATATTAACGAGTTGTAAAAGAAATAAAATCGTTTCAATTTTTGTAGTAATTCGTTATTCGTGTAGGGTATCAGGCTCAGTAATGGACACCCATAAGGAAATTACAACTTTGAACGCTCATAAGTACCGCTTTATTGATGTTAACCATATCATAGATGGACCTATGGAACGGTCTTTTTATGAAGATTTCAATAAACATGGCCCCAATTACTGACAATGGGACACACATATTTTATAAAAATTATTTGACAAATTTCCGTAATACACTAGTAATGGGCATACAGTGAGCAGTAATGGACATGCAATGGACTAGTAATGGACACATGTTTCAAAA